AGTCACTGTCTCAATGGTCTGTCTATCCTGGCTTTTATATACAGAAAATAATACAGAACAAAACAGAATCGTACAAAGCAAACAAACAAAAGCCCAAACAACAGTGACAAGACACAACCTATAAAAACATCATTCAAAGAGAAAGCAGACAATATTAAAAGCTGAGACAACTTTAAAATGGGTCCACAAAAAGATCAACTACTAGGGCATCACCTGTTAACCTAACTCCATCTGCCGTAGCAACTTTACAATACTCTCTGTCAGAAACGAGCTTGGTCCCATGCTTCGTCTGTGGCCAGAGGGAATCCACGGACACTTAATCCATGTGGGGCCCCTGCTAATAGATTGGGGCTTCCACAGTCATCCATAGACTTCTGCAGACCAGGTGTTCACAAGTTAAGCTCTGATATCTGTTGTCGGAAGCACTGTGGTGATGCTATATTTGTATTGAACTGGTGATTGTAGCAACACCCCTCTCTTAAACAGAATGACACAAAATTAGCAAGGGTCCTGAAGAATCGAATAACATCTTCAACATGAGGATGGTGTTGATACTTATGGAGCCGTCCACCCAATGGCAGAGTGTGTACATATTCTTTTGAAGAACTAGAGCAAACCTTATTTTAGCCCACAAAACAAACCTTCACAAATGTAAAGAGTTTGAAACAGCGCCGAGTGTGAGTGCAACAATATAAACTAGAAATCAATGAGCAGAGAAGTAAGAGGAGCCTTCTCACACTCTTGAAAACTAAACAGCCCATTGCTCACAATCCATGGGCCAAAGAATCTCAAGGTAAAATTTCAAAGCACAGTTACAGAGAATGGAAATACAACAAGATATTTGCTGTGGTGTGTGCAATATAAACTCCCTCCTCTGGCTTCCCACAACATCCTCAGTCAAGTCTACATTGCTTACTCCTGCTTCTGTGCGTGTGGGTTCTGTTTAGCGCAGCGGTTCTCAACGTGTGGGTCACAACTCCTTTGGGGGCCGAACGACCCTTTCACAGGGGTTGCCCGATTCATAACAGTAGCAAACTGACAGTAATGAAGTAGCAATGAAAATAATGTTATGGTTGGGGGGTGGTCACCACGACATGAACAACTGTATTAAAGGGTCGCGGCATTAGGAAGGTTGAGAACCACTGGTTTAGAGAATTCCAAGAGGTTATTGGTTCAGAGGGAAGCAGAGGCTTGGGGCAGTATTGACACTGAAGTCATCGCATGATTGTTGAAAGAGGCATGGGAACATGGTCAGATACAATGCGAGTCCAACTCCCTATGGCACTGACTGGTTGAGCTCGTTGTTCTCTGAGCTTCATCTTCATTTAGACAACAGAGACAACAGTGCTCACTTGGGCGGCACATACACTAAAACTGGAACGATACAGAGAAGACTAGCACGGCCCCTGCGCACGGATGACGTGCAAATTCATGAAGCGTTCCATATTAAAAAATATAATAGTAATAAAATAATAGTATCTACCATAAAGGGGGTTGGGCAAGGATCACATAAGACAAGGAATACAAAGTGATTAGACCAGGACTTGGCACACAGTAAATACTTAACAATAATACTTTTTAAATCATGATTGTGCTTTAGGTTTCTATAAGGAGCCCTGGTGGCATAGTGGGTTATGCCTTGGGCTGCTAATCATAAGGTCAGCAGTTTGAAACCACCTCCATGGGAGAAAGATGAGGCTTCTGTTCTAGTAGAGTTACAGTCTCAAAAACCCACGGGAGCAGTTCTCCTTTGTCCTATAGGAGTTGGATTTGACTCAGTGGCAATGAGTTTGATTTTGGTTTGGTTTATATTAATGCATTTGCTATTCGAATCTAATTGATCATGATTATTAAAGAAAAAGATAGGGAGGGAGGGAAGGCAGGAGGAGAAAGGAAGGAAGGGAGTTCTGTGTGCTCGACTGCAGACGAGTGGCCACTCACCGCTCTTTTCCCCTTGACAATCCATGGCCCTTGTGATTCGGATTCTGCAATGAGAAAAGAAAATGAAGCTCCCGCTTCAATAAATTCGTGCTCACATTTCCCCCGTGGTTTAGGGCCAAATGCTGCTGTCCTAAAAATACCACAGAGGTCGCATTGGAAAGCAGACATTTGTTTCCTCAGCGTTCTGGGGGGTAAAATTCTAAATCAAGGTCTTGGTCATGTCGATTCCTTCCTGGTCGGAAGCGCCAGTTAGTCCTTGCTTCCTTGACGATCCTCACATGGAATCTGAGCATGCTCCTCTGTCTGATCTGCTTTACCAAGGTGAAGTAACTAGATTCAGAACTCATCAGAGCCCTATCTGATTAACATAACAAAGAAGATCCTCTTCCCAAACAAAACACCTGTGGATGACAGGTAACACTGGGGTTAGGTTTCCACCACAATTGAATCCATCCATTGGGGTGCACAATCGAATCCATGAGCCCCTGGGTCATTTGAAAGAAACCACAAAGTCCCACGTCCATGTGCAGGTGACCTTTGCTTCCTCTCCAGCAACAACATACATCAGTGTCACGAAGAAGCGAGCCACTATTATTTGAGTTTTTCATGGCGACACAGATCTGCCACACCTGGTAGTCACAGTCTAGGCTGCTGTCAACCTGTGCATCCCTCAACAGGCTGCAGTTTGTCCCTCTTGTCAAAGGACAAAGTCAAGTTGATCAGAGGTAGGTATTTCAGTCAATGTTTATTTTTCCATTTTCAAAATACAGCCTAAGAAAAAGCTGTGGGTCCAGATTTCCGAGCTGGATCATGAATAGCATAGTGATAGTTAAGATGGAGAGAACAGATTTAATATTTATTTAGAAATGTGAAGGAAAAGGCCTTGTTGGATGTCAGAGGTGAGGGAGATGGGAGAGTCAAGGTTGGGGCTGGAGCGCCCGGTGGGTGGTTCAGCAGTCATCATTTGTCAGGCGTGTACTAAGGGCCTGTTGTTTGTAAGCTCTGTGCTGGGCACTGGGGCTGCGTGGAAGGAAAGTCACACTGGATGCTGGCTCTCTAGCACACGGTGTGCCAGGAGAGGCCCACCATAAACACACAGTCCCATGAATCACTGTGGGACAAAGGCGAAGGCCAGAGCACGCAGGGCATGGACACTTGTTTTTCTGTTGGCAGTGGGAGTTCAAGAAATGAAGATGCCATTCATGAAAGGTGGGAGGAGGGCTGAAAAACAGATTGGAGCCCGCGAGCTAGATGCAAGAGAAATTGGTTTCCCTCCCTGGATCTCTGTCGTGGGTTTTGTTTTGCGTTGCTAACCCAAGGTCAGCAGTACACACACACACACACACACACACCCTCGACTGGGTGGCTATGAGTAGGGGTTGGTGCCTTTGGATTTCATTGTCCACACTTACAACAGGGCGTCTGCCTGTGAGTTCTGGAGGCCAGAGGCTCATCGGACTCACTCTTCTCTCCACTGTCCCCCACTGTGGTAGGCCTCGCAAGACACTAGTGGTTTGGGTTAGATCGGTGAGCAGTAGACCGAATGAAGGAATCGCTAAAGGCTTTCCCGGGTCAGGGGATCAGAAACCCTGAGATTACCCTGCAGTCACAGAAATCGCCAGTCCAACCGAGAATCGAGTTTATCCATCTCCCGCCAGCCGGGCAGCTTACGGGCCTGGCGCAGCAGCTCGGGCGGCGCGCGGCATGCCGGGACTTGTAGTCTTTCCCCGGTGTCCCTCGTTCTCAGCTCCCTCAACCCCTCCGCGAGGACCCCCACCCATTGTCGAGGTCTCTGTGGAAAAGGACGGAAGCGTCTGGGCCCGGTGCCGCTCTTACCTTCGGTCTCGACATACTGTAACACGACCTCCGCCTGAGCGGATCAAAACCGCGGAAGCACTGG